TGTTCGTTGCGGTGTAGTCTTTTAGATCTAAACGTCTCATTGGATGATATAGAAGAATATATCAATAACGTTCACTTAATTGTTGAGTTCGTTTAACGTAGCCAATACAGGTCTAGTGAGTTCAACTCTTGTATTCGTTTACGTAGCGGTTAGCGCAGAAATATTACTTTATCTTTGTTGTTCCGAGTATTAAACAAGGATTAAGGGCTCAGATAAAATTTTTGTAACAGTAACCTTAAGACGTGAACTTAAGCCGATGAGCCAATCAGGACACTGCTTTAGATCTACGTATTCTAACGAAAATAGAAATAGCAATAAACTTATCCATTGGTCGCTGTTCCGTTCTTCTGTGAATTTATGTTCATGAGACGCCACCCTAAAAGATGTAGAGTGCATTTAGTAGTACAACTGTTCAGGCCGGAATCAGACTACGCATTGAAGAATGAGATTGAAGTTTGATCAATCAGAACAAAAGGAAGCCATAATTTCTTTGTCTTTATTGGTGAAATTTTAATCTTTATTCTTTAATCTCAATCTTCAGTGCATAGTCTGATTCCGGTCTCGCTAAGCGCTCGGTGAGCTCTTGCATTTGATTGGTCTATATTTTAGGATCTAATGGAATATGCTAATCAGATGAAAGAACTCATTGAGCGCTCAGTGAGCGATATTGAGCGATGACGTTCTGCATGCACCCATTGAATGCACCTTACAATACGTATACTGTTGATATTCGCGCGCGTGCAGGTATGTCATAAGGAATTTTTTCGGGCACATGCGTGCATAAAATCTGAAGTCACACTGGAGCCATGATACTATTGGGTGTGTGAATATGACTCCGCCCTTTCCAATAGGTTCGTTAGTGTCACTGCTTACGCGTGTACATTAAAATGTCAATACTTGTTCGATAGTACTTTGTGTCAGCTGTCAAACACAATGTGTGACATACGGTTGAAGCGTAAACAACAAGTATTTTTATCGTATTGAAAATGTCGGGTTTTATTCCAAATAAACATCATTTGCGGGAAGTTTTATTGCACTATTTTATTGCAAGGAAAAGTGCAGCGGAAACTTATCATTTGCTTGCGGATATTTACGGTGAGCATGCTCCATCAAATACAACTTGCAAAGAATGGTTTCGACGGTTTAAAAACGATGATTTTGACATTGAGGACAAAGAACATGGAAAACCACCCAAAAAATTTGAAGACGCTGAATTGGAAGAATCATTGGCTGAAGATTGTTGTCAAACACAATCAGAATTGGCAGCAACATTAAATGTCGATCGATCAACTGTTGCAAAACGTTTGCGAGCAATAGGAATGGTTCAAAAAGCTAGTAACTGGGTTCCACATGAATTAAAAGACAGAGACATCGAACGTCGAAAAACCATTTGTGAAATGCTGCTTCAAAGACAAGAAAGAAAAGATTTTTTGCATCGAATAATTACTGGAGATGAAAAATGGATATATTATAAGAATCTAAAACGCAAAAAAGCCTGGGTGAAGTCAGACCCATTACAGCCAAAGAAAAATATTCATTATGCCAAAGTTATGCTCTGTATTTGGTGGGATCAGAAAGGTGTTGTGCACTATGAGTTGGTGAAACCGTCTGATATTATCACTGGCGATGTTTACCAACGACAATTAATGCGTTTGAAGGTAGCTATAGAAGAAAAACGACCAGAATGGGTGAATAGGCATAGCAAATTAATTTTTCAACATGACAACGCCAGATCGCATACTGCAAAAGTCGTGAAAACATATTTAAATGAACAGGACTGGGAAGTGCTACCCCACCCGCCATATTCGCCAGACATAGCTCCTTCAAATTACTACTTATTCCGGAAGATGCAGTCAGATTTTACAGGAGAGCGATTTACTGCTTACGAAAGCATCAAAATTTGGCTTGATAATTGGATTGCCTCAAAAGACCAGGACTTCTTCATGCAAGGAATCCGTAAATTGCCTGAAAGATGGGCGAAGGTTGCAGCTGCAGATGGAGCATACTTTGAATAAATAATTATTTCATTTTCTAAACAAGCAAATGTATTTTATTTTCACAAAAAAGGGCGGAGTCATATTCACACATCCAATATTAAAATAAATAATTTATTCTTTTGTATTTTGTATTAGCTTTAGATAAAATTAAAATTGTGTTTTCTTTTTTATTTCTGCAACTACAAATCGGCTGTATTGGCAGTTGCTATGATTGGCAGTGCCAATTGCAACAGTTTGCAAATGAACCATTCCCCTACATATTAATTTAGAAAGTTCAATATTTTATAACAAAACATATCTATACGATCCTTAGTAAAAGTCCCTAGAAATCGTGTTCTCCTGTTGGACATTGAACATCGAACGCTGCGAATTTTCCAAATTTTAGGCATTTTTATATGTCACGACTATTTTCCTAGGTCTGTTCTTTTTAGCTGAACTTCTTACACATGGTCTGTTCGCGTTGATTGCTCTTTTTGCACTCAACACCTTCGCTTTCTTTCTTTTTAATGTTCAAATATATATATATATATATATATCTACCTCATTTTAAGTTTAAAAATTTTTAAGAATTTCAAGCAACGCGAACAGACTTACAGTTTCTCTATTTTCTTTTTCTTTCCAACATAAAAAGGAAAAAAAGGATAAATAAATTGTGCAGAAGTTCAGTTAAAAAGAACGAACTTTATGTCAACTAAAAGAAAAAAAAAAGAGAGAGGGAGCAAGCAGCGGTGACTAGTGAGTCGGCCAGCTGGAGGCGAGAGGAGAGAGGGAGAGACAGAGAGAGAGAGAGAGAGAGAGAGAGAGAGAAAGTGAAAAACCGTCGCCATATTGTCGCGATCGAGTATAGTGTTTGTTTTGTCAGTGGAAGCTGCGCGTTGGTCCCATGCGTGCGCGTGCGCACGCATACAAATTCCGTCCCTGCGTCTCTTGTCAAGCAAGCTGGCAGATTGTGGCAAATCTCAAGCAATCACGAGGACCATCACCACGTCAATTCGCTGACGGAACCGTCGGTGTTTTGTCGTATTCAAGCCACCCCGCTTCCTCCCCCTCCCCCCCACACTCTCTTGAGCTTCTCGTAGTCGACGTCGGTTCCGCGCCCCACCCTTCTCTCCTCCGGGGAGAGGGGGGACCACGGCCCTCACGACTGGGTGTCAGTCGCGCACGGGATACACGGGACGGGTAAGTCCGAGAACACTGCGCCACCACCGACAGCAGTAGCACCATGGCGTGCGCCACGCTCAAGAGGTCTTTGGAATTCGACCCGGTGCACAGCCACGGCCGGCCCAGCAAACGACGGAGGTGCATACCGATGTCGTGTGCCTCGCCCGGCGCTTCCGCGTCGTCATCACGCAGTGGACCGCTGCCGCAGAAATCGTCGCCGTTCGGCGAGATAGCTAGCAAATTGACGCCTGGTAATTACACCGCAGGCTACGGCCATTTTTTCTCTCGCTCTCCGTCGCACCCGTCGCATTTCCCCTATATTTATCTCTATCTCTTGCTCTCCTCTCCCCTTTTTGCCTTCCTGTCGTTTTCTTTCTCTTTCTCGATCATTCGCTTGCTCTCTCTCTCTCTCTCTCTCTCTCTCTCTCTCTCTCTCTCTCT